CTCAGTCACTAGTCAAACGTCAACTTTTTGGTGGGTGTGACATCGCGGTTTGGCCGGCGCCCTAAGAAGTGTTTAAAATAAGCGTTTAATATTTGACCCTTTTCATTGCATTGTCCTCGATCTAGTGCAGATATCAGGAATTGCTGAAAGAAAAGCTGAAATAAGAGTTTAACTGTCTAACAGCATCTGTTTAAGACATACTGCAATCGTTTCCACTGTTAACCGGCAGACGTTGAACATATTTATTCCAGCCCGAGTTTGTAAATATTTATTCAATCCTATAGAAGGTCGTATGTAAGGACAACATATCTAAATATATCTTGGCATAGATACTTTTTCCAATTTTGCTTGTTTGTGCTGTCAACTCCCTGTTTTTTAGTTTGGTGTATGAAGGAGAGCCTTCGCATTGTTCCACGTGCTGTTCTCCGGTAAAAGAAAACTTTTGTTTGATTCCTGAATGCTTATCCAAAAGAGAACAAATTTACCAAACTAAACTCACTGCTGCTGTTTACAAGGAACTAATACCGATTTGTAGAGCTAACCCCACCCCTAACCCGCGAAAACCGCGTCTCTTGTGGAAAAAGAACTTTAGACTGCGTGGCAAGAGTTTCCCCAAATACCGCCGCAAATTGATATCGTTTCAGAGTTCAACCTGCGCATTTGAGGTCCAAAATCAATACATTTTGAAGCGCTTTCTTTACAGCTAAAATTCAAATTTGGCAAAAATATTTGAACAGACTTGCAATAACATTGCCAAGGAGTCATACAATTTACATTTGTACTTAAAAAGTCTTAAAAACTTACTCGTTCCTCCATCATGTAGGACTTGCAGCTACTCGTAAATCTTCTACAGGTAAACTGGTGTCTACCCCGGAAAAACGGCTAGTTCTACCGGGTAAGGTCGATGACGTCACCACAAAATGAAAAAAACATGGCGCTACCCGTTACCCGTACACCGATTTCGGGGTATCTTAAGGTCTCTATTAATGAAAATTAATGACTGATGAACGGAAGGGAGCACTGCAACTATAAGTGATACATTGATCTCCATATGATTTTCCATTCATTATGGTACTAATAAAGATCTACCAACCAGTGGCGGATCCAGAGGAGGGGCCCGGGGGGCCCGCCCCCACCCTATTTTTAGACCAAACTGAGGCCCAAAGGACCGAAAAAAAATCTTTTTTGAGATACCTGTATAGGCCAGTAAACTGGAGAGTTTCGTGGCAGGTATAAAGTCGACATAAATTCAACTTCATTTTCAGACCACACTTCTTTGGTCCTGCAAACAGGAATGGCTGAACCAGTTCCACTGCTTGGAAACTTGGAGCAATAACTATGAAAAGAAATTCAGAACAGAAAAGGACATTTGGACAAAATTAATATGATGTAGGTCAAATAAAAAAACAATTCAGGGTAAAAATTTTTAAAGGGGCTGTGTCGTGGCTGTCTGGTTCATTTTATTGATAGGGAACTTAAGCAAGGACATTTTTGAGAGACACATGTCAACCGGAAGTGGACTTTTTGTGCCCTTCGGCCATGATCTGGAACAAATTCTTAGGCAAATCGTCTCTATAAGAGTAAAGACACTTTACAATCCAAATTTGGTAGCTTAAAGGTAGTGTGGCCGAGTGGTCACCGTGTCAGACTACCAATCGGGCGGTCCCAGTTTCAAGTCCCACTCTGGCGACTTGCTGGATTTGTTCCCGGTTGTCGCAGTTCAAATCCTCCGCCACAAATTATTTTGTAAATAGCCAACTGCCATGGTTGCCTCATGTCAGTTGGGGTTTTTACTCCTGGTTGGGTGTATTTGAATTATTTGTTTCTAAGCCAGTATTTGAGTGGAGTGCCTGTAAACAAGCTGGATAAGCTAAGTTCACTTTCCACTATAAACGACTTGCTCTTAAACCTTAACCCAAGGTTCTCATTAAGTGCCGGCAACCAGCTAAAAAACCGGTTACTTTGAGGTCTGCGCTGTCTACTTTTAAGGGGGAAAACAAAGAAAGTGAGGGAGTGGAAGCCTCAAGTTGCCTACAACACTTGATTGCCAAGCCCCCTACTTCTACATCCTAGCTGTCTACTTTAGAACTTAATGAAAACCCTGTAACCTTATCCGGTTGACATGCATCGCTCAAAAACGTCACTGCTTAAACTCCCTAATAACACCAACTACGCATCCTTATTCGCTATGGAACTTGAGAAAGATGTATAATTAATATTATATATTTTATGTTGCAGGTCATTATCAAACCCAGGTTAAAATTGTTTCAACCTAGCTTATACAGCTGTAGATTGCAGTGCAGGCATTTTCTTTGGGCACACAAAAGTTTTTGCTCGCAAAGGCGCCATGTTGAAACTCCAAAAGAGAGGAGGAAGTGGGGCAAGTCAAGGGAGCTTTTTCCTCCCCTCCCCCTCCCCCTCCCCCTTTTTTTCCTTTTGCCCCTTGCTATTTACTACTCTCCCCAATCCCAATCCTCCTCTCTCACAAAATCAAAGATGGCGGCTATGAACATAAACAAACATAAACCACTAGGGACAGCGCATAACTAATCAAAAGGTCAAAGTGGGCGACATGCTGTTGCTAGCGGCCTTTTAAACAAGCAGCTTTCGACCACCCAAAATACACCTGCCCAGCAGGCTACCTAGCTTAACACTCAGTTTCCTTTGTGTCCTAACACTATGATCATGAATAAGATGTAATTAGGGCTTCATTGTGCTGGACAGTAGTGATTAAGAATCACGCTAGGCAAGAGCCCATGGGCTCCTGACCTATGTTAAAAATTTTAACCACAATTTAATGTGGACCTACAAACAGATACAGGGAAAATCTGTTCATGACTTCCATTATCTAAATGCAGCCTGCAAGGAACCTGACAGGAAGCAAAGCAAGCATGTATCTAAAGATTAAAAGGGTAGCAGTAGAAATTAAGTCCACTGGGTGGAAAAATATTTCTCTTTTTATTTTCCGTACTCCCCCACCCCTGCCCCGCCCACAAAACCTAGCACTTTTAATTGACTCACATCCAGTTAAGCATTCATAGCATAATAAGGCACAAGGAAAAAGAAGGGTGTAAACAATCTAGTGCAATTTAGGATGGTAATTTACATTGACTACCTGTTGAGGAGGGAAATGCTTGACAAAAGATCCACCTTTGGTCCACCCTCTCCATAAGGTTCATATGCTGTAACTGGTTGATCCTCAGGGAAGAGTTTCTTTACTTCACAGCATGGGAGTCGGCAGTTAGGACATCTCTCAGCTAAAACATTTTCTATCCCTTGCAAAATCTGCTTGATTCAAAAAAATTTTATGTGTTATTGACCAAGCATGAGGTAATTATAAAGGTGGCTGGATATTGACCAAGTTCTTTTTTGCATTTTTATTACCTGAGACAAGACCAAGGTCAATAAAGATGCAAAAAAGAAAGAGGCCAATATCCAGCCATCTTGACCAGACAAGCTTGGTCAATTGTTTATTGACCAAAAAAATACTTTTTCTTGTGCTACCAGCACGGGAAATCCCAAGTGGGCAAGATGGGCCCACCTTTCCCACTTGGGTAGCCAATCATAATGTACATGTAGGATTGGCTTCATCTTGCCTGCTCACAGATTCAGCCAGACATTAAATGAGATTACTGCACATTCACACTGCTTGACATTCAACAAGGGGTCAATTCAACAAAACTTTGACAAGTGTTACATGTACATGTACTATAATTTACATGAAAAGGTGTAGGTATTTTTTTCAAACTCTAGTAAAAGTGTTATTAAACTGAGTCCAGGCTTCTTTCAAGGGTGGGGACTCTCCCACTGCTCTACAGGAAATTTAAAGAAGAAGGAAGTAAATTTAATTAGACAGCAATAGATTAGATGATAGAGTGCTCAATGTCAAGTGTGGGGGTGCAAAGGGGGATCATCTCCCTCCTCCACTGAAGGGGTCTGGGAGCCTCCCCAGAGAAAAATTTAATTTGGGGGCCCTGAAAAGTGAATTGCACTGCAATTGCAGTGAATTGAAAATAGCAGATAGAGGAACATCTTGGTCCATGATCAATCACAATGATATTACATGTATCTTCTGATTTTTGGTGTAACAATGCTTATGACAAAGAAGTCACGATTGCAACAGTACACCTGTTACTCAGGGTTGTCAAAAAGTTTTGAAGTAGATGGCTGAGTTGTCAAAGTAAACGGCCAGTCCAGGGATATTTTATTTAAAAAAACTCCATCCATAAAGAAATGCCAAGCAGAGTAGCCGGCCGATACTAACCAAGAAGGCAGCGATTTTCACNCAAAGGGGGATCATCTCCCTCCTCCACTGAAGGGGTCTGGGAGCCTCCCCAGAGAAAAATTTAATTTGGGGGCCCTGAAAAGTGAATTGCACTGCAATTGCAGTGAATTGAAAATAGCAGATAGAGGAACATCTTGGTCCATGATCAATCACAATGATATTACATGTATCTTCTGATTTTTGGTGTAACAATGCTTATGACAAAGAAGTCACGATTGCAACAGTACACCTGTTACTCAGGGTTGTCAAAAAGTTTTGAAGTAGATGGCTGAGTTGTCAAAGTAAACGGCCAGTCCAGGGATATTTTATTTAAAAAAACTCCATCCATAAAGAAATGCCAAGCAGAGTAGCCGGCCGATACTAACCAAGAAGGCAGCGATTTTCACTGGCTACTTTTGACAACCCTGGTTACTGCATTGTAATAGTCAAAGAGACCTCAGAAATCAACCCTCTTGATTGTTTTCAGTGTTTTCATTATTTTTCCACAATCAAATAATATTTGATTATGGGATTTACTTCAAGGTTTCACCTTGGGCTCATTTAAAATGAAACCATAAACTAAATTCACTAAGTCTTACTGGCTATACCTTAAACTTCTCCTCAGCCTTTGCCTTTTCTGTCTGTCTAACAAGAACAATGAATTTGGCCCCTGTAGATTTCAGGCTCCTCTTCACACTGAAATAATGTTTGTAGTCCTTAGGCATCCCTTGACGTATCAGCAAGCTACATCTGCATGCATACAGTCCTTTTCAATCTCAAAAGTTTCGACAAGGACATTTACCGAACCATCTTGCATGCAATCCATAATGGTTACCTTACCCTCCACTTCATCAATCAGGCCTTGCTCAAGAACATCTTGTTTTGCTTTCTTACTACAGACACACGCACTCTTAAGAAAATTGTACTCAGGAAATTTATCTGATAGCTTATTAATGAGAGAATTCAGAGCCTTTGCAACAATGGTACTAGGGACAAGAATGACACACAAGGGATCATCACATTGAGTCTTTGATCCATACGTTGTTGGCACATTTTGCGGTTGAGAGGCTACTGTCCAGTTGTCGGAAAGTTGTGTTGAAGCCGACAAGTCAACAGGTTGTTGCTCAGGAAATCCTGTTAGATTATCTGCAGCCATATGAGTTTGATCATCCGATAAGGGGCCTGAATCTGCACATAGACCTTCTTGGCAAATGGACCCTTGAAAAGAACAATCTGCAGTGTAACCAGGCTTTAAATGCATTGACATGTGAAACAGCAGTTTCTCTGTCAAATCAGTCAATTCACATCTTTCAAAAGTACTATTCTCCAGCAAGTTGACAACTAAACTTAGCTGTGTCCTGCAATATTGGAGAATGAGCAGGTCACAGTTTTCAGAACATTTTTTTTCAAACTTCATGATCTCTTTTATCGTAATTTTGGCAATATAAGCAGTGTGCTCTGGCCCAAACAACAAGAGAACCTTATGGCACTCGCTTAAAACATGTTTGACAAACTTGACACATTCTTGAGTTGCATCTTGCTCTTTGATGTCTTTCAGAAATATGACAGCATTTTGAAGAATTTCCTTGAGCTTACAAGTAAGTTGATTGTCCTCAGAAGCATGAGTGTAGTACACTAACTCTTCATCACTACGTTCTCCATATCTGTTCAAGCCCAGCAAATCATAAGAAACAGATGCCTTGCAATTAAATGTTTCCTCCACTGAGCTAAGAAACCGTTCAGTACCTTGCAGACATGATAGTTGACGTGAAATCTCTGAAGACAGCCCAACAATTTTTGGCCTAAAATCCAGTTCGCAATTATCTACATGATTTAAAATAAGTACGAACGGATGACCCGGAGAAGTAGCATGATGGCACTGGTCCAGAATAATCAAGCTGATAGATGTTAAATTTAACACTCCAACTTTTATAAACTGTAGAAAACTGGAGGCTGTTGCAACCAAAATATCACTTTTATGAGGCAACCATGGATTGTTTCCAGTAACCTCATCTTCATCAAAATAAGTTTTCACAGACAACATACTTTGGTTTGCCATAGCATTCAGGAATGGCTTCACCAACTGAGCTGAAGACACAAAGGAAAAAATGATTAAGTGGCCCAATTATTGATGGGTAACTTCAACCCTTGTTACATCACACGCATGCAGCACAACTTGTCATTAGCTTATCATTAATGAAATGGAAAAATAAAGTTGATGGATACATATTATTTTGTGAGTTAAGTAGGTCTGGAAATAAATATACATGTATTCAAGTTGTTTTTTCTTTCTTGACTGTTCATCATTAATTTTCCCACAGCCCAGTGTCAGGAATTGTATCCATCCTGTGATAATGCCCTCCCTACATCTCTACACAGACTGTATGTCTCTAGTGGGAAAGAGGGTATATGGTACATTTTCTACCCACAAGTAAAAAAGCCAGAAGCTGGAGTTTCCTTCTGATTAGTCAAGAAACAATTGTGAATAAGTTCTGTTGATTGATTGATTCATCATGTCTTTCAGTGAAAACATCAGCAGATTATAATACAGTGAAACCTGTATTAAGCGGAAAACCTCGGGGAATGTTGACTGTTGTAGTGTCCAATTAATACAGAGAGTCCGCCTAATACAGGTTTCGATAGATAATGTCATATGAGGTGTCGAATGCCATTCAAATGAACAGTGGAAATGTTTAGAATATTCCCAGAGACTATGACGCTATACAGTACATTTGCATTAATTTCCTTATTAAAGTGGACCAATTGATCATAGTACCAAAAACATATAATTACAACTCAAATTTGAAGAAATCAGATGAGTGAAACAAGCTGATTAGAAGCAAAATGAAATAGAAAACAATACTGTACTGTGAAACTAATCAAATAAGTTCATCAAGTCATGTTTTTAAATGTAAAAATCAAAAAATTTATGGGTGGCAGTCTTTCGCATTTCCGGCATCTGGCATGTTGGGTGGTGGAATTTAATTACAATGCAAGTGTCCGTTTAATACAGGTAATCAACAATAGAAATGACTATTCCAGGTACTTTTAAGGTGTCCACGTCTGTTTCCGCTTAATAGAGGTGTCCACTTGATAACGGTTTTATGTAAAGTAAATAAAGGAAATAAATTTGGGGACTTCGGCTACTGTTCGCTTAACCCTTTAAGCCTCAATATCCACATACAAATTCTCCAAACTGATCTCCATACATTTCCTTAAAGAATGAGTTGAGAGAATTTGATAAAAGATCCAGGCATTTTCTCTTAGGTGATCATTTTATTAATTCTCACAACCTAATCTCATGATAATGTATGAATATCGTTAGGAGAAAATTGCTGTTGGACACTATTGGGACCTAAAGGGTTAATAGAGGGTGTCCGCTTCATACGGTGTCCGCTTAATACAGGTTTCACTGTCGGATAGAAATCAAATAACTTTACATTTAATGTAAAGTACAGGGTTGTCAATAAGGTTTTAAGTAGGTGGAAAAAGCTTAAGGAGAAGGCAGAGATAAAAAACTCACACCAAAGGCAAAACTTGCACATCCCAAAGGCTCAAGTTTCTAGGGGGATTTGGGGCCATGTCAGTCTCACTATTTTTTAACTTTTCTCTTGGCCCTCATGACAAGACTCCCATTCTCATGTTTTTTGTTTTTAGGAAATCATTCTAAAATGAAATGTTACCTTGCTGGATAAAAATGGAAATGTAATGGAGAATGCCAGTGCCCATTCAAGCCTACATGGCACTTTGTCTAACATTTTTAGCCATGAAAGTTGGCTTATCCAGAAGAAACTACCCAGTTACTATAAGTTTCATCCTAGTAATGATCTCCTCCCAGGCCCCTTAGAGTCATAAAAAAATGGCATCTTGTTACAAGAAAGATCACAAGATAATACGTATTCAAATAAACAGTGAATTCTCCTCAGGACAAAAAAATAGAATCTCACCACTTTTTGTAGAATCTCCAGATTTTTTGGGGGGGAGGGGGGGGAAGAAGGGGGCGCGGATTTCCAGATTCTCCTTTATCAAGGTTGGCAGGTCTGAGACCTATTGCCATTCTAAGTAATTATAACCTCTAACTCGACTGATTCGACTCGTACATGTCAGATATATATTGATTTTAGTATTGCACTTTTACATAAGCTCTCCTTGTAATCTCAGGCTTACCACTCTCGTCGTTGACCAAAAGAACCATCAACCCAGCTTTCAGAGCTCGTCGCCGAAACTGTTGGAAGATCTTAAATGCAATGAAAAGCTTAGACTCGCTTCTAGCCATACAAACAACACTCACACTTCCGGAATCCAACGCTCTTTCCACCAAATCCACTGCATAGTGTGGACGCTGAAATGAGATTTCTTTTTCTCGTTTACTTACATTCATCGTTTAACTCTATGATTTCAGCGTGTTGTGGGTGAAAAAAAGTCGTTTTCACAGAAGTTTGGAAAAGACCGCCACGGAGGCGGCCATCTTTAAATTGGCACCCAGTCCCCCAATATTCCGTCTTGTTGGGTCACAGGCCACCCAAGCTCCGTGCATAAACCGCATGTGCCCATAAGGAACATTCTGTGGACTACATGAGAAATTCAATATAGTTGAATAGTTGAATGTAGAAACGCACTTCACTTACCTAAACCTGGGTTTTTTGCTGCGTTTTCTATGCAACCTGGGCTCAATTCATGGCCATCATGGCTCTATGGTTTTGCAGCTCGCTGTTTGTTTGGTGTTATTTTCCTAAAAAATACGAACCGAAGCTAACCAAGGTTGGTTACTGTGCGCAACCTCAACTCACAATTCCATCAAAAACCATCGCGCAGATCCACCATAAAACACCATCACCTTTATTTTCCGCTCGTCATGAGTAATGCAGTGCGATTTTGGTGGAAAACATTTCATCAAGCCTTAGGTTCTGGCAAGAGCCATGCCGCTTACGCTCATCTCAAAAACTATGCGTTGCGTAGTGAACGCGATGATTTTACACAGCCCTTACATACACTAATCTCATTGGCTAATTCTCAAGACTGAATAGTTTCTCAGGAAATGCTTATTCTCCATTTGCACGCCTCCCATAATGCACCTTGTTTTCTCCCAAAAGTGATGAATAAAAATTGTCTTTACATTCGTCTTGGAATGACTGTAACACCCAGGAAAAATGAAAAGCAAAGGCGGGGAGGGGGCGCAAACAAGGTGAATTATGGGAGATGTGCAAAGGGTGAAAAAGGTAATGGGCGAGAGAGGAATCAATAGTAAAAAACTGCTGCATGCATTGTGGTTAAAAAAAAAACAGATGTATTGTGAGTAGAAATCGAAAATATTAATGTCCCTGAGGTCTGCTGCGTTGTTCGCTCGCTTCGGGAAGAGGGCGGAAGGATGTTTTCTTTTATTAAAAATAAAATGATTTTATTAAGTTAAAAACAACCGGATGTTAGCCTAGTGGTTTTTATTACACAGGGAACTCGCATGGGCTGAGATTCGTAAACGTTCTGATAATCTCGTACCCAGATCTCACTCTAGCTGTTTCACCTGGGCCGTGGGAGATCTGGGTACGAGATTAACGTTCTGATAGATAGATTGTTCTTTACTCAGGGATAATCGGTATTTTCTCCCAAACTATTAGCCTGAGAGAGCATCCGGTTTTTTCGGAGCTAGTTTCACCCGCCGGAGGGAGAGAAGCGACGACATAAAATACGTCTGCGGTTCTCAGGCTACCAAACTGAAAGATGACAGTTTAGCCTGTGAACAGGCTCTCTGTTGGGGGAAAAAAAATAGCAAGGATTCCCTCTCCCTAGTTCCCTGCTCGACCAAAGGCCTGTTCACAGGCTAACACTTATTCAGTATACGAACCTATTGTAGTGTTTAAATCAAGGTTAATTTCGCAAGCCGAAGCAAGGGCGACTGGAATAAGTAACACATTAAAACTGACCAGGTTTATCAAGCGGCTTCAAAACCCTTTCTTCAACCTGTTCATTTGTGTACTAAACCTTAAATCTAGGCACCAGTTTAACATCTTATCCATGTTATCTGATTCAATTCGATATTTTTTAATTAATTGCTAAGGTTAACCTGCGTTAAATTTTTGGTTATTCACGAATACAAAAATATTATAGGGCTTTAGCTTTTTTACTAACAGGAAAGAAGGAGCTAACTCGAAGAGTAGGGGGTGAACTTATAGCGGGCTGATTCACTAAAAGGTCTAGAAGGCGACCTCACTAACATTCCATTGTAGATATCAACCTGATTTGGCTGGTAAGTTTTTTTATCTCCTGATCAAAAGTTTTGTTTCATTCTCCTTTCATATTTTGCGATTCTATTCTGCCTATTGTTGAGAAAATTGTCAGCAAGGAGCCTTTAAACTTCCAAGCCATCAAACATATTTAACAGTCAGAATGCATGGGGGAAATTTTTCTAAAATTATTTTACTAGATAGGAATAAGCCTCGTATGGCTACTCAAGACAAAGTAAGGGTCGCACAAACACTGGTTGAACTCCTTCGTGGCCGCAGCAGTAGCAAAGCCAAACAAGTTTAAACTTGTGTCTTGCGACTTTCGTGTTGAATTAACTAACGACAAGAGAGAATGAGCTCCTTCTATCTTCCTTACGACCCCCCACACCCCGACAATTTAACGTCAAATTCGCCATTTCTCAAAATCCCATCCTAAAAAAATCTAGCCAGAGGCTAAACAAAAGGGCTTTTTACTCGTGACTGACATCGTTCCAAAGTTTAAAGAATTTTCAGCAAACGACCTTAGACATTCCGTCTCAGAATTAGACTGCCCTTGGACCTACCTAGATGGCAAAACCCCTGACTTTGGAAAACTTTTCTACAATTCACTTCCTCGTCAAATTGACCAAATTGGCCTTAAAAGTTTTATCACTTTGACCCTTCATGTCCTAACTTGCGTTTGTTAGCTAACACCTCTACAAATGACGAAATTCATACCAAATTTTATATTTACATTTTAGCACTAAACTTTCACGAAATTTCTCTCCTTTAACTGAATTATCTCTGATTTATTTAATTAAAGTTGTTCTTGCCTTTATGATTACTTGAGCCGTTCTCAACTCACACATGAGGTGAAGAATTCTAGACGTCTAAATGTTCGGTGTTCTGCCTTTCCACATTTTTCGCTTCAGCAAGATGACAAAACGAACAAGTTGCGACAGCAATGCGAATAGGATCAACAAAGCAAACAGCGCAAAAGGAAAACTGAGAAGAACCACTTGGATCCACCGTAGGACGACAATGATGCTTTTGTTTGGACCTTGTGGGCGGACTGCAGAGGACGCGAGAGTCGCTGTTGTCACGTTTATGGTCGCGATACAAGATAAAGTTATCAGAGAAAAAGTTTCCATTCTATCTGCTGTGCGGTCCCGAATGGCTTCTTGATTAAATGATGAACTGCCATCAAAATACAGGCAACTGACATGCACAAGGAACAAACCATGAAATTGGGAATAAAGGCGCGAAATATGAGAAGCACAAGCCTTCGACCAATCAGAACGCTTTCCCAGTAGAGCGTCCCTTGATCATGTGCATTAGGTGGACGGAAAGGGCCAAGCAAAATGTTGGAAATTTCGTTGGTGCACTCTTCTATATCATGTGAGGCATTTCCATCGTCAATAAGCGATGAAAGGCGGCTGTATCTATTATGAGAGGCGGGGTTTCCTCTCTGTTTGGTGTATGAACGTTTAACAAGCCAGTAAACGAGAAACGGTAGGGGAACAATACACGCACCAATAAACTGTTTCCATGATATGGTCTTTTTATACAGCTTTCCAGAACCCAGGTACAGAACCCCGACGAATGGAACGACGAAAATAACATTAAAAGCCAGAAGACAGTGCTGCCACCATTGCCAGCAAACAATGTTACCATCGTAGTAAAGACGCAGTTCAGATCCAATCGGTACGCAGTGCATTAACTTGAGCGACGTTTCTGCAAGACGCTCGTAACCAAGCAACAGGATTTCCATGGCAACAGCTACGTAATGAACGAAGAAAGGCTTGTGTTTCTTCAATATTCGGTAAACCACCAAATTAAGACAGTAGGTCATGAACACGTGACCTATGGCAACAAATACCAGCGCAGAGAGGAACATTTCCTTAGTAACCGCTGTCAGTCCAGCAAAGGGGCAGCCAATTTTCTTGTCCAGGATATGGACTTCAAAGTTAAAAGCAGCGACCATCGTGGAAATGTACGGAACTTCTTCCATCATTGTTTCCACAGATGTGGTGCTTAGCAAGTCGAAGACTTGGTAGAAATAAAACGTAATTCTGATATAGCCATTCTCGCTTTCTTTGTTCTCAAGAACCGAGTCTCTTTGCAAGTTCTGTTGACGACGATCCCTTTTAAACCAGAAAATTTGATCTTTCAGAAAACGAACAAGAGGAGGTTTCTTCAACAAATAGAAAGTCAAAGCGATGGTATAGATTGCCATGAAAAGCCACAATTGAAAATTACATCTACATTCGTCAGCTTTTCGACATTTGGTTGAAAACAGTGATTCAGTAAAACCAGGAGCACATCTTCCGCAAAGAACACCTTGCCGGTAACCATAGCAACTGTTGAAGTCCTGGTGGTGATGACTTTCACCGCGGCAATACTTCTCAGGACAAGGCACAAATGTCAGGGACGAGAAATTGCTCGAGTTTGTAACTTTGTAACCCCAAAAATCTCGCTTAGCGAGAATGTTATTGGTTCCTTCGCAGTGAGCTCCAAATGGGCACTCAAGACATCTGAAGCCTTTGTGAACGAACAGTCCCCTAGAAAATCCACTTTGAAGACTGTACATTTTTGACGGGCACATTAGACATGTAAATAACTCAGTTGTAACGTTAATTCGGCAAAATGTACTGTCCTGCCAGCCTCCATAACTAAAGTGAGTAAAATTGTCAAATTGAAGCGAGCTCCCCATTGGGCATTGAATGGTAGAGTTTGAGTCCATATCGAAATAGCCACCGGAAGATATCCTGATAATTGGTTGTTGACGAATCAGCCTTTCAGAGAAATTTGTATTAAAAGAAGTTTCCTTTATCTTGATTGGTCCTCCACTTTGCGAATGCAGAAATCTGCCAAATCTAAAAGAAGTTCCGTTGAAAGTTCCTTCTTTTTCTGTGCGCTCGAAAGAACAGTTCTGGAACTCGACCTTCGCACTGCCGTATCCAACACAAACATGACCTGTGTCGCTCAAGGCAAAATTATTTGTGAAATTGCATCTCCGAAACTGAACATAACCATTAATAATTTGAATCGCACCAGCAGCATACCCAAAGTTGTTTTGAAATAGCGTGTTTTCAACAAGGACACGACTTTTGTAAAACCACTGGGAATGGGTGTCCTTTCTCTCCCCTACTTTCACACATCCTCTGTCTACCAGCTTATCGGAGTCGAAAAGAAAAAGAAACGCTCCCTGGCCAGTCGTATACCCTGGCAAGTTTTTGTATTTTTTCTCTATCCAATCGTTAATTTCTAGACTAAAACTGTCACGGAAATTGCAGCCTCGCAGAGTGATCGTCTTGTTTCCCTTGGCAACAAACACAAAGGCATTAGTTGGTCGACCTGCAAAAGTTGCATTTTCTATTTCAACGTTTGCTGTCGAAGGTATCTGTTTGTTTAGAAGGGGGATGATGATGCGAATACCGAATGTAGCGTTCTTCCGGTTTTTTTCTTGTATGTCTTTGCCGTCAAAAACTGTATTGGTCACTCGAACATCAACGCGGACGCTATTGTTTAGCAAACCGTACACGTCCATCAAGTTATTTCGAAATGTGCAGTTGTGAATGTTTGCAAATAAATAAAGATTGCTATCGTTCATAACATCCGCGCCATACGCAGCCATCCGGACACCATATAACGAAGACCTCACAGTTACACCTTCAAGACAAACATTGAAATTCGGTGTTAAGCTAACTGCAACTTCGGAGCTTCGGACAAACGAGGTATTGAAGATGTTAATTGTTCCAGACTGAGTTGTAGTTCCCGTCACTCGCAATGTAGCGCGCGCGGCCAGTACTGTTCGATTCGTTTTATTGTCGTAGAAGCGGGACCCATTAACTTTTAAGGCGATTGTTCTATTTGCGTTAGTAAAGCTCTGAACTGTGATACATGTTACTGCAGAGTTATTTACACACTGCAAACCAACAAAAGCGACTGTGGCCATCTTCACTTTGGAATAGTAAAGGCTGCGGGAAGTCACAAAATGATTGCGCTCAAGATTAATGTTACAGTACGCTTCTTTTGTAACAGCAGCGAGTAATTCAATATCCAAGAAATGACCACCGCCTCCAACGCAAATAATATCATTCATCGTTATTTGCAGATAAATAGTTTGAGAGAATTTCTTCAGTGCTTCATTCGTTGAAAACACTATAGCACCTCTTTTAGGGGACTGTGTGTGGAGGCCATTTTCCAAAAACTTTGTTTTGGTCACATTTAATGAAAAGAGTCTGTCTTTCTTGAGAGATCGTTGTTCAAAGTTGATTCTAACACACAGGGAGTTGTTTTGAAAGACAGAGTCTCGAATAGTTACATTTACTTTCGAAATGTTTTGCACACGAATAACAACGGCTGATTCCCTTGCAGTTTTATCGCTATGCCTTTTTCGAAGAGTACAGTTGATGATCTCCACGTCGCCACAGTCTATAAATTTTAAAGTCGTTTTTGAGAACGATAAGCCGCTTAACGATATACGAAAAGACTCGTTTGATCCATGAAAATGAAACCCTTTTGGACAGATCACGTGGGCTTCTGTTGATGGTAATAAGCTGGTCATTGTGACGCTTCTTGTTACCTGGATTCCCGGATGATGGGCCCGCGTGGTTAACTGTTCGCAGTCATATGGTTGCTTTGCTGTACCACTGCCGTCCAGGATAACCATCCCGTCCCAGGACACGCGGGTAACAGCCTTTGTTATCGTGCGACAGGGCTTTTTAATGGAGCCACAACGTTTGCTGTCGTTTCCGCGTAAAGAAACGTGGACAGTTCTTTGATACTCGAGACATCCTGTAAACATTGGAAAGACAGTCAAATGTTCAGTCAAGATGTTGCCCTTGCAAGAGTGGTTAAACAAAGTCACATTGGGCAGGGCCGTCCCTTTCAAGGGCTGTTTTCCTTTCCAATCCCCTTATGTTAAAAATTCAATATGCAAGATCTTGGTTTCTACGGCCGAGTTCTCAGTTAACCGCCGTCTGAATGTTTTCCAATTAAAAGAAAGCGAATTCAACATCATAACGGCCAACTTGGTAATTTCAAAGCTAAAAATGATTAAACAATAGTAAAAGAACTTTCCAGACAGTAGCAAAGAAACTTAATATGAATTTACTTTTAAACTTTCCTGCACGTTATCACATCAACTATTGTTTTCTAGATTGACCGAACCCAGCTAGCCCTACAAAAATGGAGCAGCTCTTAGTATAAGGCAAGACCAAGCAGTTGTCCCGTCTAGGTTTCCCTTGCAAGAGAGGCTAGTGTGGTCGCATGCCAAAACCCAATAGTTGCTCTTGCATTTTGTGCTTACAACACCACAGGTAACCCAAGCTCGAAATATGAGCATCGGCGAACATTGGCATTGTTACGTAACATTCGAAATATAAAGATTTGTATGGGGAAAAAGCCTATCGTTTCTGTAACCTATGAAAATGAAAGGATTTCAATAAAAAACAGCTTACCTTACTTAAAATGTGTTTAACGTCTCTCCTGTGTGGTCCACAGGCTGATTTATGGCCGTTTTATGGGTTTTTATGTAAACGGTTTTCTCTCTATATAAAGGTTTACCAAGGTTGGGCACTCCAGCGAAGCGGCTCGACTGATCCACCGAACGAAAACGGCCGTAGATTCGCTCCAACTGCTCCAATCGCCTCCAAATGCCGCCTAGGTAACACACGATAGTGCTCCTTTCCATTCGTTATCTTTATATAGAGAGAAAACCGTTTACATAAAAACCCATAAAACGGCCATAAATCGGCCCGCGGACCATACAGGAGAGACACACAAGTCATTTTAAGTAAGGTAAGCTGTTTTTTATTGGAATCCTTTCATTTTCGTAGGTTACAGAAACGATAGGTTTTTTCCCACACAAATCTTTATATTTCGAATGTTACGCAACAATGCCGGTGTTCGCCGATGCTCATATTTCGAGCTTGGGCTTCCTGTGACAACACTTCTTGCTTTGTATGTCCAGCTACGGTCTTGATGAGTCTAAGGTGCGGAGTATTTGCCTTCCCAACCTCTTAAGATGTTAGAAGAGCAAGACATAATAGGCCATTTGCACTAAGAGGTCACGTGACATCGTTTTTATGAAAATGAAAGATATATGATTTTGCCTTCAAAAAACGATTAGTGGGTCATATCTTAAACAAAATAATAGTGACTTTGCTTTTCAAACCCGCACCATTTTCTTAAAATGAGTAAGTTCGTAGCTTGTCACGTGACCAAAATGTGATTTTTAAAATTAGGAATTACATCTTTCAGAACACAAATTTTGCACTTAAAGTTCAAGGGAAATGTTGAAAAGATGATGTGGTAACGTTTACAGCACATCTGAGCTTAACTATCAAACGTTTAACAAGATACAAGCAACAAGTAGTTTTGGCCGCCATGTTGGAAGGCAAAAGTATGCCCTCCAACATGGCGACCAGTACAAATCATACCGTTTTGCTGAAAAATCAAAGTGCCATAACATACTTCCCTTAAATGCATTTCCTCTCAAATTTCGGGTGTAAGATAATATTTATGTGCTCTGTCAATTTTTGGCATCAGCCAGATTCCAACTCATCGTTAAAGGAAGCGTTGGTCACGTGACCTCTTAGTGCAACTGGCCTATAAATACACATTTCCAAATGATCGTTTGAAAGGAAAATATCCCTAAAATCTTTCCCTACGGACCCTACGGGGGTCGGTTATGAAAATTTTTAATTAATGTACTACGAACTTTCGATTCTTTCGACAAAATCCAATAGCGTAACCAATTCAATACCTCCCCTTTAATTATTTGCCTCCTGGATCTGACCATTTAAAATTTGCCGCAGTTTTGTTTCATTTGAGCTTTAACCACCACTGGGAGATGATGAATATTTAATCCTCTCGAGGGAAGAATTCAAGAAAATAATTTTCTTTCCTTTTCTTTTCTTTAATTCGAAAAAGAAACCCAGTGTAAACGTCCCTCTAAACAACAAATGAATAAAAGGGACGAATATATGATGGAAGAGTGCAGCGCAAAAAAAGTTGGCTTTATTAACAGTGAGTTAATAAAGACCTTTGGATTCTAAGACGAAGACGACTACACGGGAACGAGATTTTCTCAATACACTTTTTCTTTTTTATAAGAATATTGTTTTTCCGACCCAGGCTGAATATTCCTATTTTTCTGCCGATTTTAGGCTGAAAATATTCTTGTAATATTCTTAATTATAGCTTATGACATTTCCGTGTAAGGATGTATTTGTGTACGTTTTAATTTGCGGTTCAGTTCATGTCTTTTGCATCGTACATATTTCGTACTGCACAAATACATTAGATGTTCCGCTCATCATTGAACATTTGGCTATCGCTAGTAAAGAGTGTTTCGTTTGTTGGCTAGTTTTGCCGTTTAGAGAAAGGACTAATTTTGTACAGTTAAGTAAAAACATATCATTGTATTGTGTTTACAGATTTTCGCACGAAATTATATTCTTTTCACAATTTCAGCCTAAGGTTTATTCTTAAAATATTCCTAAAAATTTCGCAAATTTCAGCCTCGATATTCTTACAAAATATATTCTTATAAAAAAGAAAGAGTGCACTAAAGTAGAAGCAACAGGGGCACCCAACGACCGAATGTTTCCAAATACGCCAGAAGTGTCTCAAATGGTTTGTTACCTCTGTACTTTAAAAGCCTGTTTGGTTTTCCCTAAAAACTATTTACCTTTTCGGATGTCTTAGACGAACTTTGGTAGTCACGAAAGTCTTAGGTGGCTCTTTCGTCTCATCTAAAAGTGTTAGCTACCGTTATGGGTCCGGTCGAAATTTTTAGGGGACGTTTTGTCTTATACCGACATTTTTAGGAGACCTTCTTAAACAATAATCTCTTTCTTGGTATTAAAATGTGAATAACACAACCTCCGAAAATCGTTGTCAAGCCATTAAAAAACCTCCAAATATTTTAGACGAATGGAATTGTTATCCGGACATTTTAAGCTTTTCTCAAGCCTTAGAAATTTGTAGGCAATATTTGCTTCTTCGAACAGTTATTTCACCGAAAAAGGTCCATGGGTGCCCCTGAAGCAAAGGCGTTTTTGAGCGACGCACGTCAACCGGAAGTGAGGCCTTTTCGGGCCTTTCAATATGCCTTGACGCTATTAAACGTCTATTGCTAAGTTTCTTTACTCTTACAGAGGCGACTTGTCCAAAAATTTGGACAAAAACCGCAGCCCAATAACGTAAAAAGTCCACTTCCGGTCGACGTGCGTTGTTCAAAAACGCTACTGCTTAAGCTTCGTCATTCTACTACGGGTTTTAGCGAAAATGTCGAAGTATCGGACACTGCATTTTCCGATCTTGAGAGGGATTAGCTTCCTTTAACAAAAATAATCGTGTTAACTTTTCTAGTGAATAAAGTGTAACGAAGCTTTCCGGAATGTCCTCGTAGTCGTCTTTCCCCTCGAATCTAAAGGCCCCTTAATAAAATCACCCGGCGGAGAGCACAATTCAATTGACATATACCCATACAACGGCGTAGAATATTCGTTTACCTCAGGAAAAGCTACTACTGAACATTCGGATTCAAGCTGTCACAACTAAGACAAGCATTCTAACTGCTGTACCCGACCGCAAATAACCGTGGTTTCCAAAAATATTTCCAATGTGAGTGCCTCGATGTCGTACTCCCAAAGCTCAAATAATGCCGACATAGTAATTCTACATATGATGCGAGCAATGAGATTGAACTACGCTATCTGATTCAGACCAGAAAAACACACAAAACGAAAGGGGTTTAATTTTGAAGAGTGAGTATAAAGTGGCCACCGCAATGAGATTTGAAAGCAGAGGTCAGAGCGGATTCGCCCTGACAAAAGGGCTTGCGAGGCTGCAATATGCTTAAGCTACATGCAGTTGAGTTCAACTGCTGACAAACCTGTTTTTACGCTCAAGAGAAGACAGAGATGAGATACGTAGACAAACCAACAAGCTGCCATGGTCTATAAGTTTGCCCGGAGGTGAGAAATGTTGCTTTCTAGGCTGCTGTTATTGACTGAGAAGTGACAAAAACTGAAAACGATTAGACTCCTTATATATGGCTGTAGACCTCGAAAATGAAAGCAATTTGCCTAC